TGTGTAACGTACAACAGTTTATCACGTTTGTCTGCGGCACCGCTTCATTCCTCCACATCTTTTTCATAGCCATTGATAGATATTTAACGATCTCGTGGGTCGAGTACTCGCAGAACCGGGGCTTAAGGCCGGCGCTGATAATGATTGGCATTTCGTGGACGGTGTCAGTGGCACAGGGCGTGCAGATACTGTACACTCACCGTAATAGTGGGCTATTAGTTGCGAAAAATATTAACGCACCTATTTGCATGTGGGACGATGAGCTAAATGATTGGGTGGTTCACTCAACTGCAGCAGGCATGATATTGATCGTTGTAATTTATATGGTTTATTACGGCATTTATAAGGTAATTGATTATAGTTTACACTATAAAGTTTACATAGATAAGAATACATGATAAGAATAAAAATATACTAATATTATTACAACTTAATTATATAGAAATCATGTGAATTTCGCAACAAAATTTATAATAACCAAAACCAAAATAAAACTGCAATTGAACTTAAAAACGATCGGGCGCTGACCCGCGAATTTCTGGTGGCCAAACGGTCCGTAATGGTTACCCTGGCGTTTACCATATGTATTGTGCCGTATATGATAACCAGGTTTACCACTGACTGGAAACACATTCACTTTAGATCGTTGGCTAATTGGCATTTGTGTTTGTGGTCAATATATATTAATTCAATGCTTAATCCCATTATCTATGGACTGTATAACAATGATTTTTTCCAAGCATTCAAACGATTACTTAAATTTTAAGTCGTAAAGTTAAACAAGTTATAATAAAATGCAATGTATTGTCTGTTAAATAACGTTATTATTTTTATAACTTATACTTTACAAGTTTTAAAAGATTGCAATATGAAATAAATTGGTTTTGCTTTACAAATCATCTAATACAAATGATAATTAATTTCAAAATAATGTTGCTATGTGTTGATTTTTTCATTTATAGCTGAAGTTTTTTTTAAATTTTAATTTATTAGAAATTGCTCATTTTACGTAACACTATATAAATGATATAATTCTTGAAAATTTTATTAAATGCTTAATTAAATCATATTATTAAAATGGATGATAATGAAAATAGTATAATTTACCGGGAAATGAATTTACATGTACATTATACATTTGCATACTAAAACATAACAGCATTTTGAGTTAGTATTAAACAACATGATTAAAATGGCAGTCAATAATACAATAAATTCCTGTGTAATACACGGCGAAGATATGTATTATATAAATGTTTTATCATCAATAATATTGTTTACCATAATATTTGTTTCAATCATTTGCTATCTGTTGGCTGTCATATCGATTATCGCTACACACAAACTGAAGACCCGATCCAATCACCTAATCCTAATCCCATGGCCGGGCGTTGTTTTGTTTTGACCATGTAATCATATGAATTTTATAATTCATACCTTGTTTAACATTAAACCTATTGTTAAAAATAAACTATAGTTTGGTATTTAGCAAGTTTGTTTCCAAAACTTTAATTATTATTTATACAGAGCACTTTATAATTTCACAAGATTCATTTAAAACATAATTATTGTCTGTAGTTTGTAAAATTTTTTTGCTAATAATTAAGTAAACGTTTAAATGCAAACTGAAAATCCCTATTAAACAGGGAATAAACTATTGGATTAAGCATTGAATTAATATAAAGACACCAAATAAATAGATGAATAAAAGCTACCGATTGGTAATCCAATTGATTCCTATTAATAGTGAGATATACGAAACAATAGGGTAATAAACAAAGTGTAAACACCATGGTGAATATAATCGATCGGATGGCCACTTGAAACTCTCGACTTAGCGCCCGATCGGTTGACTTTTGTTGTTGAATCCCAGCTATACTACGATTGGCATTAGTTTGGGTTTTGTTGCGAAATTCCCGTGATTTCTATACAGAATTGTAAAGTAATGAATTTATTATATATAAAACTATTATATAAATTAATTATCAAGCATACTTGCAATTATTTAGTAATTTAATTAATATTTCAAAGCAATTGATCAATTAAACTACACTACATTATAAGTTATACTAATATACGTTATTAGTAATAACTTATTACTGTATTATAAGTTAACTAGAAACAGATATTTAATATACATAATTTAATATTTTAAAAAGTAAATTATTACCAACCGGATAAATTTTATAATACCCTAAAATCTTGTGCATTACCCGCGGGTTATACAAGGAAAAAAGTGAAATTTTTGAAAAATTTTTCATGGGCGGGTTACTTTTTTGAAAGAATTTTGTTCATAAACAATTATTTTAATTTAATAATTACTTAAAATTGTTAATAATATTATTTATTAAGTTAATGAGTTAGTTTAGGCTAGGTCAGGGTAGTTTTGACTAGTTATTTCTTTAATTTAAGTGAATTTAATTTAAGGGCGGGTTATACATGAGTGCGGGTAATGCACAATATTTTAGGGTATAACGAATAAATGATCACGAACAGTATCATTGCTATGATGACTGTGCCAACGGCCCAATAATCCGGGTCATCTGACCACAGACATAGGTGTGCGTCCATACTCTCCACATATATCATATCGCTTCCCATATGACCGACCAATCGGCCCATACCTTTGGCAACCGCTAATGTCCACAAAATACCGATCATAACCCACACCGGCCTTAGGCTCCGGTTACGCGAGTAGTCAACTCTCGAGACCGAGACATACCTATCGATGGCTATGAAGAAGATGTGGTAGAATAAGGCGATAGACAGGACGTACGTAACAAAGTTATGGATGTGACACATGGAGTACCCCATACGCCAGTCGTTCAGGTGTACCATTTCGTGATAAGCAAACACCGGCATTGACAGCGCGCCCACCATTAGGTCAGCGATGCTGAGCGATAGGATCAGGTAATTGAATCTGATCTGCAGTTTGGGTGTTGCCGTAACGGCTGTTATCACAAATATATTGCCGATAATTGTGATGAATATTATGACAAACAATAGTATCAATGATAAGAACTGAACGAATAGCAACTCCTCTGCGGTTATCATAGAGGAATTCATTGTATTATTTTATTGTACTTTACTTGAAATTAATTAATTTTTCATATTTATTAAGTTTTGTAAATTATAATAATAATAAGCAAACATGGTTAATGTTTATTGTTATAGATGGCTTAACTTTTGAAATTCATATTATGCGCCAAAGGTAAAGTCAATCAAACATTGTGAACTGATACAGTGGCCAATCAAAATTGTTTGAGAAAGTGTTCTGGAGACTTAGCCCATAAGAATTTATTGTGTATGGAATTAAAATATATTATACAGTGCAACCTCTCCATAAGAAACGGGCAGATGCATAGCCAAAGTGTTTCTTATAGAGAGGGTTTCTTCAAGGGAGGTTCGAGTAAAAAGTCTAATTTTTAATTAATTTTTGAAAGATTTTATTAATAATAGCAATTATTGATAATAATCAGTAATTTTAGTTTGTTAGCTGTATTAAAATGACAATTAAATGGTTTAGTCTTAATTTTGTCTAATTGTTCAAACATTTAATCATCGGATGCGTCTATGGATATAAAATAGGACTTTAGTGTTGATATTGCTGTAGTGCTGATATTGATGAAAATGTGTTTTTGTTTGTTTAAAGTCTTAGGTTTGAAAATATTTTTTTAATAAGAAATAAAACATAATTATAATATAAAATTTAAATCTTTTGCATAATTAGATGTTTTATTGAATTTATTAATATTTATATAATTTTTAAAAAAAATTAATACTACAG